AAATCATTATGTTTTAAAATGTATTTTTTTGTTTCTCTCTTCACATCTCTTGCAACTGATTTACTGACTAACTCTAAGAAGGCAGATATATTTTTCTCATTTCTAAAAAATTGGAGGCACTTTCCCTTGCGTGCTCTTTCTCTACTCTCATACATACATTTGCACACACTCACACATACACACACATGCACACAAACACAGACACTACAAGCAGATATTAACAAAGGCCTCTACAGACACTAAGTCCTGAAGAACTTTGATGCCCCTCTACATAAATTTAAAAACGATTAAAAAAATTAATCCATAAAAGAAGTGTAGTGAAGTCTAATAAAGTTCTAGTTTTCCAACAAGGAAAACTCATGTTGTAGGGGAGGAAGAAATTTTCTTCTACTCTTGTAGGCTCTTCTGGCTGGTCTAAGAATTAAATTGATATGAGACAGACTAATAGGAGAAAATCAGACACGTTTAATAACATATATACATGACAGAAACCCAGGAAAACAGTGACTCACCAAAATGACCAAAGCCACCACCTTACATGCCATCTTCAGCTAAACACAAAAGAGCATGTTGAGGGTAGTGGCTTGGGACTTCAAAAAGAAGGCTAGTCACATGGAGATGGAAAAGCAAACATTTGCTTAGCAAATGTCATTCTAGGCAGAGATAATGGGACATGGAGAGGAATTTGATCAAATGGGCCTTGCTAGGTTCCTGCTTGTCTACCACACCTAGTTCATATTATACTATAGTTATCTACGGTGATATTTCCTTCCTGGAACAGGCCTTCTATCTTAACTTTTTTAGGCAGTTGGGGTAAAAGTCAAAATTTATTCTTGAGTCTTTTGTTCTTAAAAATAATCAAGCCAAAGAGACACATTTTGGGGTAGCAGATTTTGCTCCTCTACAATGTTTTAAAAAATCTAATAAAATTTATCTGGAGATGTCTCTCTATCATCTATCTATCTATCTATCTATCTATCTATCTATCTATCTATCTTTCTATCTAATTATCTAAATATCTCTCTATCTTTCTACCTGCCTTCTCTCGTAGTGTTTTCTCTGTTGCTCTAACTCTCTATGCTCAGTCTGCCTACTGAAGAATCCAGTACTGCTTTTAGGCATAATAAAATGTATTCATCAGGTTTTCTATGATGATTAAGTGAGCTAATCTATATCAAAGAACATAAAATGGTCCCAGAAACTTGGTAGGTGCTCAACAAATATCAATTATTCTCTCCCTTCCCAAACACTGGTAATAAGAGACAGCATATTCGGTAGAGATAGACTCTGGAGTCTGGATCATGATAATTACATTCAAGTTTTTATTTTGTAAACATTTTGTCAGTGTATGTCAGCAAGCCTCTTCACCCTTAGAGTCTCAATTTCTTTATTACAAAGGTTTGAAGGTGATGCAAAATAACCTAAAGACTCTCTTAGTTTTAAGACCTTTGATTTAGTGTCTTGGGAATCAATCTGCCCTCATAGCCCTCAGAGCCCCCAGAGTCAACTGGCTATCTCATCTTCTATTCAAATTCTTTTTAGGCAGATGAAAAGCTGGCAAGTCATTACAATCTTCTTTTATAAGCACTTAATATGTGATATTATGTTTCATAGTCAACTGGATCTATAGGCATTTGTACTCCAATTTTATATGTGAGGAATTTGGAACTAGAACAAATTAAATAATTTTCTTAAGGACACTTGCTTGGACAGGGCAAGAAATACTTCTAAATCCAGATCTAAACATAGGGTGACAAATTGACCAAATTTGCAGAAACTAAGGGGTTTTCCCCAGTGCAGGATTTTCAATGTTGAAACCAGTACAGTTCCAGGCAAACCAGGATGGTCACTCTATTTACTTAGCGTCAATAATTAGGCTCTTAGTGGTTATGCTGTTTTGCATCTTGAGATCTATTTGGGTTGTGGCATGGTTAGTAGAAAGAGCCTTAATCTAGGAATCAGTGAGAGATAGCGGGTCTGGGATTCAATTCCGCTTTGCTTAACTTACTGAATAGATTATTTCTGGGTCTCAGTTCCTCTCCTATAAAACAAAGGGCAACACAGTTTTAACTCTTAATTTCTTTAAAACCTCTAAGGGGGAGAAATGCCAGGGCACAGAGGAGCCATCTATTCAAGATTTTTTGCATACCTGCTACTTCAGCCACCTTTCTGAGCTCTGGGGCTTATTGCACCCAAGGGACTCTTAAGTGGAAGGTTTATAGAGCTCAGGGCAGGAAGGAGGTGGAGGCTGGCAGGCAAGTTGGTGCAGAGTCTTCAGTGTTTCCCCTAGTAGAGACTTCACCTACCTCTCTCCTTCCATCCACCACAGCTGCCCTGGAAAGGTAAGTTGAGACTTCAGCTCTTCCTTCCCAGATGTCTGTAGGAACCTCATCCATAGCTACAAAATCCTAAGGTGATTAGAGTACAAATATTTGAAGGAGGAGAGGCTGTCTGTGATAGAAGTTTAGAGATTTTCTTTGCACTCCACTTATGTCCCCAAACTCATATTCTCCATCTGTACCTCTTGGTCCTTGAATCCCTCTATCATGCCCTCATTGTTAACAGCTTTATTCCATGGTTCCAGCATGTATAGACCTAGCTATGCATCTTCTGAGGCTTTTGTTCAGTCTGAATGCTTCAATATGATTAACTCATACTCTAATATTGTCGTTGGGCAGTGGATAAAAGGCAAAAGAAGGGAGGCTTTTTTTTGGGAAACTGAAAGTGGGAAGACAGTATGGAAAGAGGAACCTCAGCCTCTGAATACCCATCTTCATTGCCAATTTATTGGTTCCCATTTATTCAGTACATATCTTGCACCATGGTCCTGAATATGAATTTTAAATGTTTTCCTCTGAATGTTTTTCTACACTATAGATAGGAATATAAGGTATGAAGGAATAAACTAAACTCACAGCTGATATATGGAAAAGTTGAGATTAAAACTTAGTTATTTGATATTAGGAGAGTTACTTAACCTATCTAAATTCATTTTACACTTAAAAATGTGTGGCTCAGCATACCTTCTTCCTTATATATTTTATCTATTTAATTAATATTTATTAATTAGAACTATAACTGCTAATCTCTGAGTTCTATTCCAGGCCTCTATGCCCAGTGACTTGGCTAAGCATTAAGGATAAAATGAGAAGAAAAACAGACAATTATGGGAGCTTATAATTTAACGGGAGAAAAAGATTCTAATTAAATAACCAAACAGATATATAATAATTCACTATAATTCTAAAGTGAAAAGAGTCATGAAGAAAAATATGTGTGAGGATGTATAACAGGGACATACAACCATGAGCAGAGAATTAATGAATGACTAGAATAATTGGAAGATGACAAGTTCCCAGGTTGTGCTGCTGATGCTGCTCTATGCCATGGTGAGGATATTTGAATTCTATTTGAATTCTTATTTCAAAAGCTAAGGGAAGCCATTGGAGATTTTCAGTAGGAGGGTAACATCATTTTATTTATGTTATAAACAAATAATTTGGCTGCTTTGTGGAGAATGGATTAGAGAGGGGCATGACACTAAGATGGTTGATCAGCAAGGAAGGTCCTGCAGACATCCTGGTTAAAGATGCTGAGGAATGGATTACAGTTGGAAGTGAGAAAGAGAGGAGAGCCAATGTTAAGTACAATTTGGAAAGGTGGTAACAGATAAATTAAATCCGGGAATGGGAGATGGACAGAGATGTCTCTTAGGTTTATCTGGCTTAAGCACATGGATAGAAGATGATGGATTTCCATGAGATGATAAATATTGGTGAGGATCAAGTATGGTGATTAACCAAGTTCAAGTTTGCTTTTGTTGTATTTGAGATGCTGGTGAGCTATTACAATTGGTAATCCCATAGGGAGTGGGATGCTTGAGTCTATAGCTAGAAGAGAAGTCTGAGCTAGAGACATAATTTGAAATCATTAAAGCATATAGGAGAGATAAGAAGGGCATTATGAGTAGAAAATAATTATGAAGATATTATTTATGAAAGAACAGAGAAATGAGTGATTTACTAGAATAAAATGTGGGGAAAATAAAGAGGGTTTATAATGTTGTTTTTGTTTGTTTCCTATGATAGTACATTATGAAATTCATTCTCAATAAGGAAGAAGTTGGTGTGGGGTAGGACATATCTGAAGCTGATAAGAGTGACCTAAACCCTTGATTCTCAAACTTGGCCGCCTATTGGAATTGCCTGGAAACTTTAAAAAATACTGATTCTTGAGTCCCACTGCCAGAGATATTGATTTAATTGGTATGAATGTGGTCTAGGCAAAGATTTTTTTAAAGTTCCTCTAATGAATCTAACAGACAGCACAGTTTGAGAATCTTCAAACAGAGGAAAAAAACACGTGAACATTCAGGAGAGAAAAACCAAGAGCAACCAGGAGTGGAGGAGCATAGAATTCTGGAATCTCAGTAAATAAGTGAGGAACTCAAGCCACAGAGAAAGAAGAGCTGGAATGATGCTTGAGTGCAGGCAGGAGAGGAGTCACAGCTCAGAGTATAGACAACAAATGTCATCACTTGCATGAAAGGGAATGCATTAGTAAGTGGAGAGAATTAGAAAAGAATTCATGGAGGACATATTGTACCTCACTTCTTAAAGAAGGTGGTGGCTAAGAATTAGCAGAGAGAAGGGCAAAATCATTTTCTGCCACTGGAGAAACATTTGAATCTTTTTGTAAAGAATACAGTGACAGGAAGAATAAAGAATAATGTGCAAAACCAAAGAGTTAAGAGATTTTTAAGGGTAGGATATAAAGCCCAAGACCCATCTGTGGGTATGGTCAGACTACAGAAAGCTTGAGACGTAAACAATGACCCCTAACCTGCTCCTTCCTGATCCTCACATGATCTTTGGTATGGAATCTAAGTATTATTGTCCCTTCCATCCTGAGGACAGTGACCACTCCTCATCTTTACGTCTCCACTGCCTGACCTCACTTTACTCTTGTTGTATTTCCCCAAATGCCGCTCAGTGGCTCTCATGGGAAGTTTGGGGACCAACATCTCAAGTGCTACCAGCTTCACACCAACAGGCTTCCCAGAGATAGAGGGCCTGGAGAACTGGTTAGCTGCCCTCCTCTTGCTGCTTTATGTTATCTCCATAGTGGGCAACATCTTAATTCTCTTCATCATAAAGGAGGAGCAAAGCTTGCACTAGCCAATGTACTACTTCCTATCTCTATTGTCTGCCAATGACTCGGGTGTGTCCTTTTCTACATTGCCCACTGTACTGGCTACCTTGTGCTTTCATGCCCCAGAGACTGCCTTCGATGCCTGCCTGACCCAGATGTTCTTCATCCACTTTTTCTCCTGGACAGAGTCTGGGATCCTGCTGGCCATGAGTTTTGATCGTTACGTGGCCATCTGTCACCCCTTGCGTTATTCTGCAGTGCTCACTGATATCCGTGTAGCTCACATGGGCATATCCATCATCATCCGCAGCTTCTGCATGGTCTTCCTATTTCCTTTCCCTCTGAAGAGGCTGCCCTTTTGTAAAGCCAATGTACCGACTCATTCCTACTGCTTGCACGCAGATGTGATCCGCCTGCTCTGTGGAGATACCACCATCAACAGCATGTATGGCCTGTTCATTGTCATCTCTGCCTTTGGTTTAGACTCAGTGCTCATCTTCCACTCCTATGTGCTCATCCTGTGCTCTGTGTTGGCCATTGCCTCCCAGGAGGAGAGGCTTAAGACACTCAACACATATGTGTCACACGTCTGTGCTGTGCTCATCTTCTATGTGTCCATGGTTAGTGTGTCCATGGTTCATCGATTTGGGAAGCCTGCCCCTGAATATGTGCACAAATTCAGGTCCCTGGTATATCTCTTTGTGCCTCCAATGTTCAATCTTATTATCTATTCCATTAAGACTAAGGAAATTCGTAAGAGGTTACACAAGATGTTACTGGGACATAAGCTTTGATCAGAGAGAAACCATCTGGAAAGCCAGGTACCCTAGCAGTTTGTTGTTATTGCTGATTTTGGGGTACTAGGCTAGTCTATTGGAGGATTTTAATCCCTTTCCACACAAGTACCTACGATTGGGTACCTGCCATTAGTTATATGGGATAGCCTGGCTATATAACCCATAACTCAAAACAACAGGCTGCTCTCCCTTGCAATTAACCATGTCACAGGTTGTCCCAAATGACTTCTCTCAGACTTGGCAAGGAAGAGGATCTTCAATTAGACGCTTTTATTTGTCCCAATATACTAGTAATATTTATTCTGTCAGATATATCTCAAAAACAGACATATGACTAGGGATTATGTTACTTGAAATCATAGGTATCACCCAATACTTTTTTTTTTTAATTTTTTGTTTATTGCAGTAACATTGGTTTATAACATTGTAAAAATTTCAGGTGTACATCATTATACTTCTATTTCTGCATAGATTACATCATGATCACCACCCAAATACTAATTACAACCCATCACCACACACATGTACCGAATTATCCCTTTCACCCTCCTCCCTCCCCCCTTCCCCTCTGGTAACCACCAGCCCAATCTCTGTCCCTATGTGTTTGTTTATTGTTGTTATTATCTACTACTTAATGAAGGAAATCATGCGGTATTTGACCTTCTCCCTCTGACTTATTTCACTTTGCATTATACCCTCAATGTCCATCCATGTTGTCACAAATGGCTGGATTTCATCGTTTCTTATGGCTGAGTAGTATTCCATTGTGTATGTATATCACCCAATACTTTTTAAAGGAATAATAGTTTTCAATGTCTTTAAACTTTAAAAATTAAAGATACACAATAACTGTGACCAACTTTACACTTCTGAAAAAAGTAAGAGTATTCTTGAGTCTTACAAATGGAACATATATGCTTGCCATGCTGACTCTGCTATATAAATCATGTAATACCTGAAATTCAGAAGTTTAAAAGCAGGAAAAGAGTTTTGTGGAAATAAGTCATATATTGCCATCTCAAGTTGTGACTGGGGTGTGGATGAACTTTCTCTAGGGAGCTAGTAAGCACCCTAAATGGAAGTCTAATAGGTGCTAGTGACTGATGGTGGGGCAAGTTGACTTCATTAGCATTGGCAGTTTACCCCATGATCTGCTGGATTATAGACTTTCACAGCCTATAGTGAGCAGCCAAGCCCAGAGATTTCAGCACATGTTAGAGCAGAGGAGAGATGGTTGCTGAAGGATATCAGGAAATTCACAGAGCATAATCCCTGGAGAGTAACAGTCATAAAGTGAGAGGAACCCTCTGCAAATTTACACAAAGCTCATACAACACAGACTACACAGGCTTCCAGCCACGTGACAGAGGTAAGCACAATAGTGTAGGGACTTTCACCAGGCAGTGGACAGGCCATGGCATAATTCAACCCTGTTGGATAACTGGGGAAAGCAGATACTGGGGCAAAAAGTTATCATTTTTTAAAAAAGAAATATCCCTTTCCATGTTTTCTCTCACAGGATCATGAAATAACTTGTAAAATAAAGCCATATGGCTTGAGTGACATGATGATGCCCTAAACATAGCAGCTGTATAGATTTGAATCTCTCTCGAATCTCTCCCTCCAGAATGCCAAATTAATTAACCATTACAAAAAACAATAACTGAACAAAACAAAGACTTAGAGATATCTTCAATAATATTAGATGACAAGGAAATCTCAAATATCCTAGAACAAGGTAGGTGCAGCGAGATACAAGAGTAGAAATTATATGGTGGGGAGCAGTGCAGTGAAGGGGAATGACAAACTGTAATCCAACAAGATGCGCAAACACAAAAACAGTCATAAACATTCACCCCCCAGTGGGAGAGACTATACCCCATGCAGAAACCTGGGCAGATGGCTTTCAGGTTAACTGGTGAAACTGGGAAGAGTCCCTACAATGACCAAGTCTTTGTGCCTGTGAGAGGAACAAGCAATGTTGTGGAAGTCCTAAGCATTCGAGAATCTCAGAAATGTACAGGAAATAAGCTTTCCAATAGGATATAACCTCAGCATGAAAGAAATCACGTAAAACAGATAAAGATCACTTGAGTAAGAGAGAAAGAATTTTCTGATGACAAGTGAAAAGACTACAGAGGAAGTAGAAGCAAGAAAGTGCTGCAGCAGCTGAATGAAACATCTGAAGCCCTATAGAGCTCTAAGGCTGAAAGAGAGCAAGGGAGCAAAACATCCTGTAGAACCAAACTTAGCTCTGATACACACAAGTGGCCTCAAAGAGAGGTGCTGCTTTACCTTTTGCACAAGAACAGAGGGAGCCCCAGAGCCAAGAGGCTAGAAAAGCGACCCTGTCATCCCCTCCCAGTCCAGACAATCCTCCTCCCAGTCACCCTGGAAAATCAATCTTTCCTATACATGGGGACAAAAATTGGATACAAGCTAACTCTGTACACAGTTATGAGCAAAAATGAAACAAAAAAAAAATCAAGGGCAAAGATTTATCCATAGCCCTGAGATTCGATCTTACAATGGGAATCTTCCTTAGTTTTTAAAAGATCATTTTATATCCTAATGCTTCAGTATCTATACCTGAATATTAGAAACCACATTGCTGACTTCAGTTTTTCTTAGGCTTTTTTTTTTATGTGTATATTTTAGCCTCAAAAACAGAAATGTGAAGTCACAGAGTAAGGCAGGAGGATGGGAAGCGTGAATACTTACTGTATCACTGAAAGTGTTTCTATCATCATTTTGTGCAGTGATCCCCTTATTTATTCATTAGGAAACACACATGGAATAATTAATATGAGCCTAGCTCTGTTTTAAGCCCCGGGGAAGGCAAAGGTGATTCCTGGTTCCTGAAAACGAAGAGCATGTGACATACGGAAATGTTTCATTGCGTGGGTCTAACAGCTGAATATGAGTGTGCTGAGTGAAATTCTGAATAAATAAGGCATCACTGCACAAAATGGTGACAGAAATTTCTTTCAGTGTCACACAAGTACTCACTTTTCAGCTCTTAGTTGGATAAGGACCACTGAGGCATGTGCATACACACACACACACTACATATAACTTGTTTATATTGACTACAGATTATAGAGAAATATGTTGAGGAGGCAGAAAATTAAAAGCTCTTATTTTCCTAATATAGAAAAAGTAATCCATTATATATATATATTTTATTAAACCACTTTGTTCCAGAGTACTTGGCATTTGTCATTTACCTTTTTTCCCCCAATTATTTTATTGAGGTCATAATGGTTTATAAAAGTGGGTAATTCAAGGTGTACATTATTATTTATCAGTTTCAGTATTGACCTCATTGTGCTCACCACCGACAGTCTAATTTTTATCCGTCACCATACATATGTGCCCCTTTACCCCTTTCACCCATCCTGCCACCCCATTCCCCTCTGGTAACTACTAATCTCTTTTCTTTATCTGTGTGTTTATATCTTCCACATGTGAGTGAAATCATGCGGTACTTGTCTTTCTTAGTCTGGCTTATTTCGCTTAACATTGTATCTTCAATGTCCATCCATGTTGTGGCAAATGGGATGATTTTGTCTTTTTTTTACGGCTGAGTAGTATTTTATTGTATATGTATACCACCTCATCTTTATTCATTCACCCGTTGATGGGGACTTGCGTTGCTTCCATATCTTTGCTATTGTGAATAACGCTCCGATCAACATAGGGGTGTATAAATCTTTTTGAATTGTTTATTTCAAGTTCTTTGGATAAATATCCAGCAGTTGGACAGCTGGATCATATGGTGTTTCTCTTTTTAATTTTTTGAGAAATCTCCTCATTGTTTTTCATAGTGGCTGCCCCAGTTTGCATTCCCTCCTGCAGTGTATGAATGTTTCCTTTTCTCCACATCCTCTTAACATTTATTTTTTGTCTTGATAATCGTAGCCATTCTGACAGATGTAAGGTGATATGTCATTGCAGTTTTTTTTTTT